TATAGGTATAGTTTGTTAGCACTGGTTGTGTACCAATTTAATTATTGTTTTTAATATCCAGTCTATCTTGATCTCGCTTTGTACGATTTCTCTATGCATTTAACGGTCAGTTATACTGGTGTTGCATAGCTTGATGTGTAGCCATTTGTACTTCGCCGCTCCAAAGTAGGTACCTAGTTAATAGATTTATAAAATAGATACCGATAGATCTATGTTGATCAACTTTATACACGGATAGTTTTAAAATAATTAGGTATGTACCAAATTTGTCTATACAAATTAATAAAATACTTACTAAACCTAATTACCTACTCAAAACTATGATGTTTCGGGAGTTTTATTTTCCGAGATTAATGTACCTCTAGACCAAATTTATTTTTAACCATGTAAAACGCTCAGAAGGATGGTGATCTTAATTAAAACTCAGACTTCTTCAAAAATAATTTGTATTCACTTGTTTATATTGTTTTACAAAAATTAATCTGTTGCTGTCAAAAACAAAACCGCGCGAATGCCCGACAAGGATAGTGTTGCCACGTTCGAAAACTAAATCAATTCACAATATTACTAACAGGCATTATAGTGTTTGAAATACTTAGACAATATTGTTAGTCACAAATATAAATATAGTGAGCGATAAAATATGTGACTGTAACACATGTGATACCTTCTGCCTACCCTACTTCAAATCCCTGTGCACGCCCCTGATAGTGGCCAGTTTGTGTGTCCATTACATTTAGATTAAAGTTGTCTAAAGGGCCTCTGCGCAGTTGGCTTCGGCCCCTCGTACGCCTCCCAAATGACCGGGACCCTGTGGTCCCGTGAATGGTAAAGACATACAATAATAATAAAGCCCGCAGGGCACCTTGAGGCGAGGTAACGGGCATTAGCGATCCCGCGGGCTACCATCATCCCGAGTGCTCCAGGGAGAGGTCACCGTTCCTTCTTCTCCGGCTTGTCTTAATTGGCTTGGAATTGAAAAAAGTATGTTCCGCATAACTTGACTGAGAGAAAATAGCTAATAAAAATTAGTGCCTGGGAATATGTATATATGTGGTGTGATATGCTATTCCTGTGCCAGGTGTACAGTGGCGCGCAAATTGAAGTTAGGAATTGTGACAAAAATATGAATAATTTGAATAAAAAATCCAAAGTAAAATGTTTGACTCCAGCTCCTTTCAACGCTCATAACTCAGTCCAGGCCATAGACTATACAATATATACTGAGGTCCAGGCTGAGATTTCTATATATGAACCCATAGACAATTTCGTTTGTAATGTCATTCTAGATAATATTTTCCATAAATCATCGACTGCCGCCAGAAAAAAGAAAGGCACCAATTTTAAAAATGTGCGCAACAATTACAGAAGCCGCACAACTAATTATCTACAACATTTAAATGACCATTTTCGACAACATCTGGCCTGGGTAACGCACACCACACTCACGAAGCGCTTCGCATCAAGCTTCCTTGTGCGTACTGCTAAGGAGTGGAATTCTTTGCCAGTCTGTATTTCCTGAAGGGTATAACCTGGGAGTCTTCAAGACCCGAGAGAATAAGTTACTTATGGGACGACGTGCTCCATCGTAGACCGCATCAGCGTTTACCACCAGGCGAGATAGTGGTCAAACGTCAGTACAATCTAATATATAAAAAGAATAATAATACCCCTAGACAATCGGCGAAGCGTTACCGATTCATGGTAGATGTCCCACCCACACGCACAAAGCGCTTCGCAACAACCTTCCTTGTGCGTACTGCTAAGGAGTGGAATTCTTGGCCAGTCTGTATTTCCTGAAGAGTAGGTACCTATACCTGGGAGTCTTCAAGGCCCGAGTGAATAGGTTGCATGGGACGTGGTGCTCCAACGTAGACCGCATCATCGCTTACCACCAGGCGAGATAGTGGTCAAACGTCGGCCCATCAAATATATAAAAAAGGTATTATAACGGACTCGCTCGTTTACGTTGTGTTCGTTGAATTTTCCGTGAAACTTTTTATATAGTTTATATTTTATTTCATACCTTAACTCGTCGAGTACCGGTTTTATAGACACAATTAAAGAACAATAGGTCGCGGTCACCGGTGACCGCTTGGTGTTTGACAGTTTAAAAAAGTACTTAGATTTTGATCTACAAGAAACACACATTTTATTAATTTGGATAATTACCACTATCTCTCATAACATTTTTGCAGCTCACCACCTACCACATACATTTCTGCACTACCCAAAGGATGACTGGCAGAGAATGCTGTTAGCATTAAGTCTTCCTTATGCAATTGTATAAAACTTAAATAAATAAAGACATTGATTTATTTCAAGTTTTTGACATGAAGATGCACTAAAACACAATTTAAGGTTTACATTGTCCAAAAATAGACATTTCAACAAACACGAAGTGCCTTTGACTGCTGACAGAAAACTGCTGAAGGCAAATCCTCTGCTACCGTTGGTCACCGGTGACCTACGCGGCGGTTAACGTGTTAACTTTAAGATTTGTCAGTTGAAAATGAGACTACTTTTTCAGTAATAGGTAGGTAAATAAAACATGGAAAAATTAATATTTTCAACAAAAAGAAAATTGTATGCTTTATGGACATAAAAAAGCACGACACGATTAATTTTAGATAAAATAATAAAAAAGATAAAAATAAAATTAAAAAAAAACAATAAGTAAGTACTTCTAAATTTTCGTATAAATTTTAAGAAAATGCTTTAATTTTATGTTCCCTAAAATAAGAATGTTAATTTCGTTAGTAGTAGTTTATTTTTTAAGTAACTAAAATTTTATTGTTCTCGTTTATTTTTGTATCTATAGTTTTTATCATTACCTACTTACGTAATTAAATGTTGGTTAACCTATAATTGGCGACTGTATAAGCCTAAATACTTATTGTTACTTTCATTATCACTTAATACTATGTATACAGAAGCTGTCGGTATACCTATTTAAATAAATAAATAAAAAAAGTGTAAACTAAAACGTTCTAAATCTTTTCAATACCTACAACTTCGCCATAGAACTTCTTTCCGCAGGACTTGTAGTTTTGCCGGAAACCAAGATGAATTTTTAACCCAAGTTGACGACTCGCTCGTTGCATTTTCCGTGAAGATTTTTTACATGGTGTATATTTTATTTTATTTTGTACCATCAAAAAGTAGTTTGAGCTACAAGAACCTCATCGATTTATTTCAAGCTCATCCTCTCCCACTTCCCGATCTCGAATACTCTACAGTCGGAAATTTATTGTCATTTTATTAAATTCCCCTCCTTATCTAATGGGGTTCATCCTACTGTACATCTTTTTCACGAATTACCATATTTGAACGCTTCGGTGCTAGTCTACTAATATAGATGTGAATAGACGTGTGCGTTACCCAGGCCAGATGTTATCGAAAATGGTCATTTCAATCTCATAGATAATTAGTTGCGCGGCTTCCGTAATTGTTGCGCACAATTTTAAATTTGTTGCGCTTATAGTTTTTTAATTATTTCACAAAATTATTTCCTGCTGGGGTAACGTTACCCCAGCCAGACCATTTTCTTTTCTAATGGGACTATTTAAATAATTACTAGCTATAAAATTAGTTGTCTAGATGAAGTAAATTTTGTGCCGTATTTTGTATTTGTTCTTTCATCGGTTGCGAATTTATTCGAGATTCTGCTGGGGTAACGTTTTTGGTTTTGCTAGATCTTTGCAATGGCTAAGCGGATTCTTATCATATTTGTACATGGCTTCTCAAGTAATAATTTAAATTTGTTGTGCAATAAAACAACCAAAATAATACATAGCTTAAGGTTATTGCATTTAATAGAAAAACACTTCAATTTGTCCCAGTACTCTCAATAAGACCTCTAACCCCACCCAGACCTTTTTCTTTCTTCCCATTAGAAAGGAAAAGGTCTGGCTTGGGTGACGTTACCCCAGCAGGAAATGTTTTTGTGAATTAAATAAAAAACAATAAGCGCAACAAATTAAAAAATATGCGCAACAATTACAGAAGCTGCACAACTAATTATCTATAAGAGTCAAATTACCATTTTCGACATCTGGCCTGGGTAACGCACACTGAATAGACTATGCATTAATTTCTTCTGTCAACTAAAATAGTAGTGGAGGCTAGTGTCGATTAAGGTCGCCTAATACACTATTTGTTTATGTGGAATTGTAATTTTCAAAGTCACTACTTCAACAGCCAGTTCGATTAGTCTATAAAAGTTACAATTAGACAACATTCATGCCGGAATACTGAAACTTTACTCAATTTTAAGTCGTGCTTAAATAGTTCTATCTCTACAAATTCTTTGTAAAATGACAGAGATGGCACGATATTTGAGCACGACTTAAAATTGAGTAAAGTTTCAGAATTCCGGCATGAATGTTGTCTAATTGTAACTTTTATAGACTAATCGAACTGGCTGTTGAAGTAGTGACTTTGAAAATTACAATTCCACATAAACAAATAGTGTATTAGGCGACCTTAATCGACACTAGCCTCCACTACTATTTTAGTTGACAGAAGAAATTAATGCATAGTCTATTCAGTGTGCGTTACCCAGGCCAGATGTCGAAAATGGTCATTTGAATCTTATAGATAATAAAGTTGAGCGGCTTCTGTAATTGTTGCGCACGTTTTTATCTCTGTCATTTTACAAAGAATTTGTAGAGATAGAACTATTTAAGCACGACTTAAAATTGAGTAGCGTTTCAGTATTCCGACATCAGTCGGTTAAGTCTTGAATTAATAAGAAAATCAAGTCTTGAATTGTCATGCATGTCTGTTAACTCGTCGAGTACCGGTTTTATAGACACAATTAAAGAACTATAGGTCGCGGTCACCAGTGACCGCTCGGTGTTTGACAGATTAAAGTCAAATAGGTAATCTGTAATTGTATATGTCATTCTGTAATTGTCGTTGACAGTGTGTAATCGCCGTAAAGTCAATCCTAATAGCGAAATAAAACACGTAACATATACGTAAGATATTTATTATCGTCACCAACGCACTCTGGGCTTGAACTCGTCGCTGAGCGCGACTCTCTTGATGCTCTCGTAACCGAGGATGATGCTGAATGAGAAGCAGGCTGACTGCAGTAATCGAGCTGACAGACCTTTGAAGTACAGTCCTACTAGACCTTCCTCTGCCCATAGTGTTTTGAATATTTGCCTCATTGTGCCTACTCCTTCAACCTGCGAAAAAAAAAAAGTTTTTCAAAACGTCTGTCGTTTCGAAAGACATGCTCAAAAATGACTGAAGGGATTTCGATAAGTTTTTCATTTATTTATATATTCATATTGCATAATGTACGTATAATAAGAAGTATTACATACAACTAGGTTAGTTCATTACCCTGTTAGGATGCAGCAATTTATGTTATAACTAGATAATATATTTTGTAGTTTCCATGAGCGGCACTGATAGCTTACCATCAGGCGATCAATCTGCTCCTATCCATTAAAAAAAAGAAAGCTTCTGTATTTTTTCTTACTAGATGACGCTAGTGTGACCTGGTTTTTTGTCCAATAGGGAATAGGGATGAAGACAGGGTATGAAAATTAAAAATCTAATTAGTCCGTCAGTTAGATATTGGAAAAATTTTAGACACGTATTTTTTATTTTGTCGTATAAGAAAACGTTATTAGATAAAACGAATCAACGTTTAGGAGTGGGAGGTGCTACGTCATTTAAGAGTATTAATCGTACTCAAAAGTGACGCCATGCGATATTTCAAATCAATATATCTTCGAAACTATTCGTTTCTGTAAGAAAATAAAAAATACGTGTCTAATGTTTTTAAATAATCTACCAGACGGACATTAAAATAAAAATTAGACATCTACCCTATTAGCTAGTGTAACGTCATCGGACGTTAATTTTTAACAGCTGCTGGAATTGGACAAAAAACCTCTTGTGTCATTTACACCATGTAATTAGCAAAAAAATGGTATGGCCTATTGTACGTACCTGTAGCCTAGCGCGCACTATATCCAATGGATTCGTTAGGAAGGTTGTAGTGAAGCCGCCTAATGTACCGGCCGCGCACTGTATGAGCAGCGTCGATACCCACGACGGAGCTATTTTTAGGAGCTCATCTGTAATTCAAACGAAAATGTAAAAAATAAAGACAAAACTTACTTTCACATGCATACAAGCGACATGTGTATTTTAACTAAAAACTATCAAGCCGCATTCGCGTCCAATATTTATACAGGGTGGTCCAAAAGTCGTGGATCAAACGCAACTAGGGGTTAGATGAGGGTCATCAGCTGCAAAAAGTTTTTCTACGGGAGGTCCTTAAGGCTCCCTGCAAAGTTATAATTTGTTTTGTAAATAAATGTTATGCCTTATGTTGTATTTGTTCTTTCATCAGTTGCGAAGTAATTCGAGATTCTGCTGGGGTAACGTTTTTGGTTTTGCTAGATCTTGCTGCTTATCATCAGGTGATCCGTCTGCTTGTTCACCGGCTTATGCCATAGGAAAAAAATTGAAATAAATCACAATTTACCTTGATAAGCAGTATACAGCGCCCACCACAGCGCGGAATTAGGTACATAAGCGGCGAGTGAAGCTGTGTACCCGCGGTAGTATCCGAGCGGTCCATGCAACTGATACACTCTCACTGCGACCTCCTTGGCAAGAGCTGCCTTAGACATACGCTTCTCTAAATCTAGGCCAAGAGGGTTCATTTGCTGGAAAGGAATAAAAAAGTTAAAGCTTTGAAAATTCAATCATTCTTGAACCAACTTTAAAAAAAAAGGTTCTCAGTGTGGCATTAAATTAAAACATTAGAACCGACTTCTAAAAAAAAGTTCTCATAGTGACATTAATTTAAAACTGGGCTTAACAGGGTAGTTGCCAGCGAATGAAAATTAAAAATCTAATCAGTCCGTCAGTTAGATAATGAAAAAATATTAAACACCTATTTTTTTTCGTATACAGTTACAATACTGAGATAAAATGGAGTTAAGTATAGGAGTGGGAGGTCGTTACGTCACAAAGTGCTACAAAATGTAGCACGCTGTGACGTCACACGATATTTCAGATTAATATATCGTCGAAAGTATTTAATATTGTGAGAAAAGAAAAAATACGTGTCAATGTTTTAAATTAATCTACCAGACGGACATTAAAATTAAAATTAGGCATCTACCCTATTATGTTTCTATTTACAAAATATTCTAGCAAACGGATAATTTAAAGTATTTTCCATATACATGTCATGGACATCAATAGGATCGTCTGCAACTTAGATATTGGTGAAGGGCCAAATTAAAACCCTTAACCGACAAGCATGCATGAAAAGACTGATGACGAAGCGAAAGAGGTATGTAAGAATCGCAGCAATAATTAATAATAAGAATAGATACTCACTGGATTCCTAATATTCCCTCTTCCTTTGACGAGCCCCAACACCATGAGATGTTGGCTGAGCACATCAAACGGTACTATAATCGTCTGGCCCACTATCGACGCACAACCACCGCCTATAAACGACTGGAACAACATCACAATAATATTATAAACTAGCTGTTGCCCGCGGCTTCGTCCGCGTAGAATAATGACTTCTGGCAGAATTTAGGCACGGAACAACACTTTGTGTGACCCACAAATTGTTGTTCCGGGTCTGGGTGTCATGTGTATGTGAATTTGTATGTTTGTAAACGCACCCACGACACAGGAGAAAATCCTAGTGTGGGGCAACGTTTTTTAAAAAAAAAAAAACATTCTACGGAAACGAATGTCGTCAGAATTGATTCAGTACCTAGTATAGGGCTCCTCCCCTGTAGAGGATAGCATGATAATATGTAGCCTATATGTTGATCAGACCTGTTAGTATTATTTATGCAAAATTTAAGTAATTCCATGCAGTACTTTTTGAGATCATTCCGGACATACATGCAAACAAACAGATAAAAATTCTAAAAACCATATTTTTGGCTTCAGTATTGATTGTAGATCACACTACAAGTAATTTTTTTTAAATATTCAATGTACAGTTTTGACATTTCTACGATTTTATTATATGTGTAGACTGTAGATATGAAAGTTAATTTACTTGGATGTTTGTCCGTCAATCACTCTGAAACTACTAGACGGATTTTGATGAAATTTGTTATACGGGTAGGGTATGGGCTGACTTTGGTGATAGAATACTTTTTATCTCGATTAGATGCTCTCATGGGATAAATAATACGCGGGTAAAGCCGCGAGTAAATGCTATTTCACAGTATCTATTTATTAAAATCAACTGGATGGATTTAATTCAACCGAATTAAGGATGAACCCACAAAATGAGAAGGAACCCACAAAAGGATAATTGGGCCACCGGTAACCTCACTCACACGACGAAACACGTATACGTTACCCAGGCCAAGAGTTGTCAAAAATGGTCATTTGAATCTTATAGATAATTAGTTGTGCGGCTTCTGTAATTGTTGCGCACATTTTTAAATTTGTTGCGCTTTTAGTTTTTTAATTATTTCACAAAAACATTTCCTGCTGGGGTAACGTTACCCCAGCCAGACTTTTTCTTTCTAATGAGAACATAACATCACGCCTTTTTATCCCCGAAGGGGTAGGCAGAGGTGCACATAGAAGTAACATCCACTTTTCACCATTTATGTTAGGAGTCCCATGTAATAGGGGGTGAGCCTATTTCCATATACCGGGCACAATTCCAGACTCCGTGCTACTACTGAGATTTTTTTTAAAACCCAGTAATACTTTGCCCGACCCGGGACCCCTTGCCCGGCAGTCGCACTTGCGACCACTCGGCCAACGAGGCAGTTCTAATGAGAATATTAAAATAATTACTAGCTATAAAATTAGTTGTCTAGATGAAATAAATGTTGTGCCTTATTTTGTGTTTATTTTATCGGTTGCGAAGTTATTCGAGATTCTGCTGGGGTAACGTTTTTGGTTTTATTTTCGTTTTTTCGTAACCACCAAAACTTGGTCGAGTTACCACGATCATTCACTTCCTAATGACTTTGACTAATGACTTCCTAATCATATTATCTCATTAATTATCCAATGTACTGAGCTGAAATTTTACTACTAAACTAAACAACTAATTATTGACATAACATTCAGTTCATATATTGAAACCGTGCTCGTGAAGAACTCAATATCATCATAACTTGTTAAATACTTACAGGATACTAATTAAACTTCACATACATTTGAAGGCAGTTACAGGCTTTAAAATAACATTTAAAGTAAGTCTTTAGAGATCTTATTGAGAGTGCTGGGACCAATTGAAGTGTTTTTCTATTTAATGAAATAACCTTTGAGCTGTGTATTATTTTGGTAGATTTATTTCAGAAAAAAATTAAACTAATTCATAATGCTTAAACATTTCAAAGATCTAGCAAAACCAAAAACGTTACCCCAACAGAATCTCGAATAACTTCGCAACCGATGAAAGAACAAATACAAAATAAGGCACAACATTTACTTCATCTAGACAACTAATTTTATAGCTAGTAATTATTTAAATATTCCCATTAGAAAGAAAATGGTCTGGCTGGGGTAACGTTACCCCAGCAGGAAATGTTATTGTGAAATAATTGAAAAACAATAAACGCAACAAAATTAAAAATGTGCGCAACATTTACAGAAGCCGCACAACTAATTATCTATAAGATTCAAATTACCATTTTAGACAACATCCGAGTGCCAAGCACGAATAACTATCGCATTCGTAACGTAATAGTATCGAGCGCGTTCGGCGCTCTGATTGGCCGGCTCAAGTGAACCAACCAATCAGAACGCTTAACTCGCTCGATACTGTTACGATACGAATGCGATAGTTATTCGTGCTTGGCCCTCTGGCCTGGGTAACACACACACGAAACAACGCTGTGGTTGTTTCACTATGGTTATCTGTAAGTCCCTGGTGGCGTATTATGACGTCTTAAAGCCAGAGTGGTTCCGCTGAGGGAACGAGATCTCGTTAGACGACTTGTATAGTTCTGTTTCTTTCTCTCAATGGAACCATTCTGACTTTAGGACGTCATAATAACCCCGCTGGTATGACTCCGGTCGAGCCGGCCCATTCATGGCTCTCCCACATTTTTTGTTATGGCATAAGCCGGTAAACGTGCAGACGGATCACCTAATGGTAAGCAATCGGCGTCGCCCATGGACACCTGGAACACCAGATGCGTTACAAGTGCGTTACCGGCCTTTTGGGGATTAGGAGTTTGAGGATCGTTGGGGATTCAGGAATTATGGAGATTGGGAATGGGGAGGGTAATTGGGCCTCCAATAACCTCACTCACACGACGAAACACAACGCAAGCGTTGCTTCACGTCGGTTTTCTGTGAGGCCACATTTGCAGTTTTTAACATTTAAGTATATAACTTTGACTTATTTATTACTAGCTTTTACCCGCGGCTTCGCTCACGTCACAAAAGGATAAAAAGTAGCCTATGTGACATATACCAATACACACAGCGCCATCTATATCAATAATTTCGTTTTCCCTCGAGAATATCAAATTTTTCCGGGATAAAAAGTACCCTATTATTTAATCCAGACTTCTAACTTCACGTCTGCAAACATTCAAAGCAATCGGTTTAGTAGTTACGACGTGAAAGTGGAACAAACCAACAAACTCACTTTCCGATTTATAATATTAGTAAGGATTATATCATCACAGACATCGACATACCTTCACTTTAGGACTGACATCATATTTCCCGAGTTCATACCGCACACCTTCATACGTAGTTATGTAGAAAATTCCTGAGATTATCTGAAACTGAAGAGGAGAAGTAATTTAAGGTATCTACATATCGTCTGGACGTACCTTCAGTTGACTGGACAATCTCTACAAGACATTCAATATTAATCAACTTCAAATAAGAAAAAAATGTTGATTCTGTGGTGGTCTTTTGAGGAAAGATCCACAACAGTTTGAGCAGACCTGTGCCTTTATCCAAACGCCACTTTAGCGCTTGTCTACAGAGAGAGTAGAAATCAAAATGTATGGGGATGACACTGACAAGTGTCAAAATTTACGTCAATTCCATATAATTCAGTTTTCTATTCTACATGTAGACAAGCGCTAAATGGCATTTGGCTACAGCTGCCGTTCTGATGGCAGCATGCATGTGTCAGTTTCCAATCAGCTCAAGTAACAGATGTTGCTGAATGACCCGACGAACAATACCAACCAATAGAACATTTGTGTAGGCTATTTAAATCATTAGACACGTATTTTATTTTCTTAAAGAAACGTATACTTTTGACGATAGTTATATTGATTTGAAATGTCGTGTGACGTCACTTCTATGTACGGTCAAAGGTCAAAAGCCCACTGCCACCGTAAGACTACTATCGGTTGCGCTGCAGCGCTTATACACACACACACGCACACGCAATTTTTATCTGTGTGCGTACACGTGCGTGTGTTTATGCGTACGTCGGTTTTCTGTGAGGCCGTGGTATCATTTTGTGAGAATTTAACATAACAGTTTTAACATAAAAGCAAGTATATATTTATATATTATGTATGTATGTATATATGTATGCATATTGTAGGCATATTGTACTCATGTGTAGGTATATATTATGATTAAATTTATTTATGTATGTATATCTCCGAAATATATTAGTTTATCCTTCATTGTTAAATAAAATCACTGCTTGCCTCTTGCACCTACCAATTACTCTTCTCTGCATCACCCAAAGGTCAGACTGGTAGAAAATGCCTGCGGCATTAAGTCCACCTTTTTGTACATTTTGTGCATGAAGCATATTAAATCAATAAATAAAAGTTGCCTACAGATACTTACACTAGATAGCCAGAACCCTCGATAAAGTCCAGGTACGCCTTCGTTTTTATATATCTTAGATATAGCATCAGCGACACCGCTGTAAGCCTCCTTTTTTCTTTGCACTTGTATCTGTGTTTTGATTAGAGTTAACGGGTATAGTGCGCATCTTACTGTAAAAAAAGCATAAAATATAGTATTCAATACATTTATTTTTTACGAAATGGAGCGGTAAACGCGCAGACGAAACATCAGAGGGCTTACTCTTGAATCCAATTCCGATCAATCGACATTGATATTGTGTCGTAGTCTTGAGTGGCAACACTAGCGCCCATAGCATCCGTACCGCACGGATATTGAATGAACTAAATGGAGTTTGGCTTTATATGCCGTACTCTGAATGCTATTGTAACAGCTACGATTGTGGTTGTATAGTGTTGACATTGAATAATTATTGAGATTTTATTGGATTGAAATTGCATTGACATTAAGATTGGTTTCAAGAGTAAGCAACATAATAACGGTAAGCAATGGGGGCTATCGTTGTGAATGTAGCAGCAGTTTTTTTTTTGTCCAGCAGCTGTCAAATATAAAACGACTAATAGCGTGACTCTTAACTAATTCCCTATTGGGCGAGGAACGGGAGGTTCACACTAGCGCCGTCAGCTGACCAAAAATAATTGTAGCCTGCATTGGCACCCCCCATAGCCAAGAGGAGTTACAAGTGCATTGGAGACTTTTTAATGATTTGGAGATGAGGGAAAGAGAGGGTCTACGATCGTCTCACTCGCACAACGCAATTGTTGTTTCACACCCGTGTCCTGCTCAGCCGTAGCCGTAGCCGTAGCCGTACTCCGGTCGAACCAGCCCATTTTTGCCGAAGCATGACTCTCCCACACAAAATAAGGCTCAAATTATACACACCCTCAAGACGATACAATGCTTCTTAGTGACGTTAGCGGAATACTCAAGTGCAACTGATGTGCAACACACGATTTCAAACCCGGGTTAGGCAAACTATTATTGGTATTTTCAGTTTTTTAAACTCTTGGGAGGCATTTTTTAAGGGGGGATAATCATCGAATACGGAATAACTGCCACCGCCTGGGTGAGGCGGGAGTGTCAGACTCTTACTAACTAAAAACCACCCCATTCCTACTCCTGTACTTCGAGCCGGTGCCCCGGTAACCTTTACGTTCACCGCGGCTCCGTATCAACCATATTGGGCTCCATCCGTGGTGGTCTGATGGCTTTTTGAGGCGCACCTTACGCTCGGGTCTGGTTCTGGTCGGAAGGCGAGCTACCTATGCTTGCCGTCCGCAGGCCCGTGTTTACGGCGGCCAGAGATCATCTCACACGTCCCGCCTCCTCCTTAGCTAACATAACAGCTTTGCAGGAGACGGCATCCCATTAGTCTACGCTCAGTATCATGGGAGTCATAATATATTTCTAAGTTGAACCTCCATTAAGGCATCTTGTTAGCCAAAAATACTTAGTTCAGTCATTAGACATATCTGATTTATCTTTCATAAAAGATAAGATAACTTGAGTAATCGTTTCAAAGTGGTGTGATAAACGATCGGTTATTTTTTTAATCTATATGCCCTGCCATCTATAAATCATTGTTAAATCATGGACAAAAGGGTCGTGACGGCCGGGCCCGTGGGAGAAGGAACGGGGTGGTTTTAGTCAGTAAGAGTCTGACACTCCCTCCCGCCTCACCCAGGCGGGAGAAAACATTATATGATTTTCCCCTGTTCAAAAAAAAATACTCTCATACTTTTATTATATGAACCAGGGGGGCTTACTCTTGAATCCAATTCTGATCGATCGACATTGGTATTGTGAAATTTCGTACTCTCTAGTTTCAACACTGGCGCCCATTGCATCCGTATTGCGTGGATATTGATTGAACTAAATGGTATTGAGTTTGTCTTTATATTCCGTACTCTGAATGCTATTGTAACAGCTACGATTGTGGTTGTATAGTGTTTACATTGAATAATTATTGATATTTTATTGGATTGAAATTGCATTGACATTGAGATTGGTTTCAAGAGAAGCTCCCTGAAGCGTTAATATATGAAGTTGGTTTGTTTATTTGAACGCGCTCATCTCTAGAACTACTGGTCCGATTTGAAAAATTCTTTTTGTGTTAGATAGTCTATTTATCAAGGAAAACTATAGGCTATAAAATATCACGCTGCGATGAAAAGGAGCCGAACAGAGCGGATGCAATTGTACGGAAGTAGCTAGTTATACAATGTAACACCCACTTTTCACTATTTATGTTATGAGTCCCATGTAATAGGGGGTGAGCCTATTGCCATATACCAGGCACAAAGCAGACGCTATGCTATGACTGAAAAAATTTTCAAAAATACTTTACCCAATCCGGGAATCGAACCCCTTGCTTAGCAGTCGCACTTGAGAATATTCTAGTAACGAAACAGACTTTATAAAACTATTTATCTTACTTAATAATTATTATAAACGCAAAAAAATGTGTGTATGTTTGTTACTCAGTCTGAATCTAATTCTAAACGGCTGAAGAGATTGTGGTACAATTTGGAGCAAGGATAGATTATGGTCCGGAATAACACATAGGCTACTTTTTATACAACTGGAACGCGGGCGAAACCGACGGCAAAAGCTAGTTACTTAACAAATATTTTAGTAGTTTTTTATACCTAATTATTATTATTACTGCCTGCCTCATTGGCTGAGTAGTCTCGGGTTCGATTCCCGGGTCGGGCAAAGTATTACTGGGTTGTTTTTAATCCCACGAAAATTAAAAAAAAACGGAGTCTGGAATAGTGCCCGGTATATGGCAAAAGGCTCATCCCCTATTACATGGGACTCATAACATAAATAGGGAAAAGTGGGTGTTACATTGTATAGTGGCATTAAGTGCAGTTATGTGCATCTCTGCCTACCCCTTCGGGGAAGAAAGGCGTGATGTTATGTTATGTTATTATTATTATTATATGTATATTTACCTGTAAAACTGCTCAAGGTATATAACGGAAAAAACTTGGTTTTATCCATCATACTCCATTCTATAGTCGTAATCAACTGAGGAGGGGGCGACTCAACCATCGTGGCGGCCATGTTATAATATTCTCTAATTTCTCTATGGTCAAAGTGCATTCACACCCCTTCTACCACCCCCGACTCATAAGCTATTTATACTCTATATATAAACTCTTTGGTAACCATTAGTAATAGTCAAACTATTCTTTTTAAATTATTTAAAAATAGAATGGAATTATCTGTCAACTACATTCAAACGTCACTAGCAACTATACTTTTTTTTAATTATTACTTTTTACATCAACAACAACATTAAAACATGAACAGCGAAAAAAAAATTCTATACAAAATAAAAATTAATAAATATAATTTAATCTTTTTCTATTTTATTTATAATATATTTTAATTGCACTATTATCTTTTTATTTATATTCCTCTATAGAGACTAGATCCCCGGTTGCTTTTGCTATGTTTTAGTTTTTTTAATTTTAATTTTGTTAATTTTTAATTTAGTTTGTAACTAAGTGATTTTATTTGTGTCCAAATGATTTTCTATGGTTTCACGTATAGGTTCTTCCATGGTTTGTTTATTCTGATTTCCTTGACTGCATGCAGGATCTGGAACAAATAAAACAATCTTAGTACAATAACTATCGTCCGACATTCCGTTACTCTCAATGGCGTCTGTCGCGGAGAACCTAACGGGTAACCGGGGCTCCGGCTCGACGTGCAGGAGAAGGAACGGGGTGGTTTTTAGTCAGTAAGAGTCTGACACTCCCTCCCGCCTCACCCAGGCGGGAGCAGTCATTCGATGATTTTCCGCCATTAAAAAATAGGCGGGAAGTGATGACGTAATATCACTGCATGCAGTCTACGCCAGTAGCTTCAACTTCGATAATACAAACCTTTGTATTAAATGAAGTTAGTTTATTATAACTAACTTCATTTCTAATTTCTATTAATAGATTTTCAATTTTATGATAAAGAATAAGAAACTCTATTAACTAAAATAAGAAACTCTATAAATAAGAAACTCTATTAAATTCGTGATTATGCTACAGAGAAGAAATTCCGTTTCTGATGACTACTAGAACATAATGTCGTAGTTAATCAATTCCCTCTATGGTCAGCGCACATTCGTTCTACCTCTAGTGTTGTGTCTGCTTACAATAGGGATGATGAAAGGGTATAAAAATTAAAAATCTAATTAGTCCGTCAGTTAGGTAGGTAATGAAAAAATATTAGACACGTCTTTTTTATTTTGTTGTATAATAAAATGATACATAGATATTTAGGAGTGGGGGCAAAAACGTAATTTCTACGTATAAAATGTACATAGAAGTGACGTCACGCGACATTTCAAATCAATATATCGTCGAAAGTATTCGTTTCTGTAAGAAAATAAAAAATACGTGTCTAATGTTTTAAAATAATCTACCAGACGGACATTAAAATAAAAATTAGTCATCTACCCCATTGGTTATTTACCTCAATCAAAAATAAATTATGTCGACTGTTCAATACAATGAAATATTAAAAAATAATCACACTTTCATTGATAAATTTTATGACCAACTTAATTTTAGTATTTTTCCAGCAAATTTTTAAATAAGTATGTTGTGTGACGCTAAAAAAAACGTGACGTCACAATCACAATACACAATCTCGTACAAAATTCATAGGAAACTGTCGTTTTCGACAGTTCGATAAAAGTATTGAATTTGACTAGTTGACTAGTTGAGTCGTATATGTAGAAAAAAAATGTTCAAACGAGAAAATATCAGAAACGCGACCTGGAATGAAACACGAAGTCATTGATCGACTCACCGAGTGATCAAAGTACGCCTGTTAAGATTAAACAATTTATTATATCTTTAAACTGTCATATTATAGTCAGTTCAAATCCTATTATTATTCATTTATAATAAATGTTTATAATAATATGACAAATAAGTGTGGAAGAGCCATGCTTCGGCACGAATGGGCCGGCTCGACCGGAGTGATACCACCAACGAGCAGACAACCGACGTGAAACAACGCTCGCGTTGTTTCGTCGTGTGAGTGATGTTACCGGAGGCCCAATTACCCTCCCCTTCTCCAATGTCCCCAATTCCTGAATCCCCAACGATCCTCAAACTCCCAATCCCCAAAAGGCCGGTAACGCAAGTGCGTTTACAAGTGTAATGCTTCCGGTCTTTCAGGTATCCTTGGGCGACGCCGAGTGCTTAGCAGTAGGTGATCCGTCTGCTCGTTTACCGGCGTTATTTTATGGCGTTTTATGCCATAAAAAAAATATCGCACGGGTGCAATATGCATACATTATGCATATAAACGTTCCTTTAAAAATCACTCTGTCTATTTAAAAAAACTGCATCAAAATCCATTGCGTAGTTTTAAAGATCTAAGCATACATAGGGACAGGCAGACGGCGGATAGCGACTTTGTTTTATACTATGTAATGATAGTGATAGTGACAAATCATAATGATTATTGCCTTCTTATCAATATATCGTAGAGATAAAAATTAATCATAAGTTTATTTCCACTTAACATATAGTGATTTAGAAGTTATGATGACTATTGCACGGTTGGCGCGGTGGTTGGGCAACTGGCTGCCGCGCAACGTCTCGCGGATTCGATTCCCGCACGGAACAATTCTTTGTGTGATCCACAGATTGTTGTACCGGGTCTGTATGTCCTGTGAATGTGAACTTGTATGTTTGTAAACGCACCCACGATACAGTAAAAAAACCTAGGGTCGGACTATATTTTCTTTTTTTTTTAATCTTATCTTAAACTATTATATAAAGCGGAAGAGTTTGTTTTTTTGTTTGAACGCGCTAATCTCCTTAACTACAAGACTGATTTGAATAATTCTTTTTGTGTTGGATAACGCATTTATCGAGGATGGCTATAGGCTATAAAGCATCACGCTACGACCAATAGGAGCTGAGCAGAGCGTGTGACACCGCGCGGAAGTAGCTAGTAAAATAATATTTAGTTATTTTACCAATATTATAAACGCGAAAGTTTGTGTGTATGTGTGTATGTTTGTTACATAATCACGTCATAACGGCTGAAAGAATATGGTTCAAATTTGGAACGAGTGCAATGTCCAAAAGGGCCTATAGTTAGAACACATCATATATAGAAAAATTGTAAACCATCCTGTGCACATTATAGATGCTTATCACTTCCCCAATCACTTTAATAGTAATTCGATTAGGTCTTTTTTTTTTTTAAGGGGGGAAAATCATCGAATGCCTGCTCCCGCCTGGGTGAGGCGGAAGGGAGTGTCAGACTCTTACTGACTAAAAACCACCCCGTTCCTTCTCCTGCACGTCGACCCGGAGCCCCGGTTACCCGTTAGGTTCTCCGCGACTCCGAATCGGCATCGGCCCTATTGGGCCCCATCTGTGGTGGTCTGATGGCTCTTTGAGGCGCGCGCGGAACGCGACGCGCCGTACGCTCGGGTCTGTTTCTGGTCGGACGGGGAGCCACCCATGCTCGCCGTCCGCAGGCCCGCGCTTACGGTGGCCGGAGATCGTCCCGCGATCCCCGACGCCCGGTGTGTCCTTCGCGATGGCTGGGTTGCGAGGAGGCAGCGCTTCGCTGCCTCACGCGTCCCGCCTCCTCCTTAGCTAGCATGACTGCTTCGCAAAAGGAGGAGACGGCATCCCAGTCCCCCTCGCTCCGCATCATGGCCTGCACTAGGCCCGGACGCGAGAGGTCGCCATCGCCGATCACTTCCCTGAGGGCACGGCGGTGCTCAGCCCACGCAGGGCATTCTCCCACTGTGTGTTCCACCGTGTCCTCAGGGCGGTCCTCGCAGTGATGACACCCGGGCGTTTAATTCGATTAGGTCTAGGTTATGGTCTTTTTTTTAAAGGGGGGAAATCATTGAATGACTGCTCCCGCCTGGGTGAGGCGGGAGGGAGTGTCAGACTCTTACTGACTGAAAACCACCCCGTTCCTTCTCCTGCACGTCGAGCCGGAGCTCCGGTAACCCGTTAGGTTCTCCGCGACTCCGAATCGGCATCAGCCCTGTTGGGCCCCATCCGTGGTGGTCTGATGGCTCTTAAAGGCGCGCGGTATGCGATGATGGCTGGGTTGCGTGAGGGCAGCGCTTCGCTGCCTTACGCGTCCCGCCTCCCCCTTAGGCGTAACTGCTTCGCAAAAGGAGGAGACGGCATCTCAGTCCCCCATAGTCGCCATATTTGATTAGGTATAGATAATGGTCTGGAATAACATGCAGGCTACTTTTTGGCCCAAGGGGACGCAGGTGAAGCCGTGGACAGAAGCTAGCTGTTGATATGTGTGAATAGTGTTGTTTACAAACAACTACGACTTGTGCCTATAAATAAACTTATTATTGCTTCATTATGTATTGTCAGTAACTGTTTATTTCATTACAAACAGCCCCCCCGTTGTTGTTATCATTTATAATTATCACTAAAATAACATAACATGGCGGGGATAAAAGGTATCTCCGAAGGGATAGGCAGAGGTGGACATTACTGCCACTGTAGAATGTAACACCCACTTTTCACTATTTTTGTTATGAGTCCCATATAATAGGGTGTCCATGTAACATAACATAACATCACGCCTTTTATCCCCGAAGGGATAGGCAGAGGTGCACATTATGCCACTGTAAAATTTAACACCCAGTTTTCACTATTTATGTTATGAGTCCCATGTAATAGGGGGTGAGCCTATTGCCATATACTCCATGTCCATGTAATATCACTAAAATAACTTTGGACTTCATTGTTGGGGCAGAGTTTTCTTTAGGTTCTTTATAAAGGAAGGATCACCTGATGGTAAGCAAACGGCGCCAATAGACACACGGAACACCAGAGGCGTTACAACTGCGTTACCGGCCTTTTGGGGATTAGGAATTTTATGATTGTTGAGGATTCAGGGATTGGGGAAATTGGTGGAACATTTTTTAATTGAGCCTCAGGTAACCACACTCACACGACGGAACACAACGCAAGCGTTGCTTCACGTCGGTTTTCTGTGGGGCCGTGGTATCACTGCGGTCGAGCTGGCCCTTTCGTGCCGAAGCATGGCTCTCCCGCACTTTCCATTTTGATTGCATATTTTTTATGTAA